ATCATGCTGCCCTCAGCCAAAGTCTAGTAGAAAAGTTATCCATCTACCAAAAAGGAAAATCATTGTAGCTTCTTGGTTCTTTTCAGTTTTTCAGTTAGCATTGGATTCCTTATACAACAGTGCATGTTCTATATTCCATATCTGCTAGTTGAGGAACTAACAGATATGGAATACCATAAATTGTCTGGTTGACATAGAGAATTTTTGTAAATTATTTTTTTAACTGCCATGAATTTAGACAAAATATTTAACAGTTTGGAAACATGCTTTAGCTGTATGCTCTGAGTGAGAAGAAATTAACAGTAGCTGCTAAATACTGTAATAATTCATAACTTGGTTGTAGCAGATCATTTTTTTTTAACATTGATGTAATTCATGAATTAGATAAGAAGTAAACAGTATGGCCATAATTAGAAACAGGAATAACATTTAAAATGCACAATAAAAACTATATAGCTGATAGCCAACACTACAACTTTACAAGGAGAAGGTTTAACTCGTAGACTTTGAGGATTGTATGAATATCATACATAAGAATTCTTATAACCCAAGTGCTTTCAAAAGGTGGACTGGGAATGACTAAATAAGATTGAGTGTGAGAAAAGATGTAGTGACATTATGGCAGACTACCATGATAGCCCAGAAGTTTTTTGATTAATTTTCAGTGGTTTGTTGCAGATGTGACTCATTTCTGTTGTGCAATGTGACAAGAAACAAGAATGTTAGATATAAAAAGGTCAGAAAGGTTTTGTTTTAAAAAAGACAAAATGTCAAGCAAAAAAATACAGGGTGTTTGATAAGTGTAGAACCATAGGTGATTTGCAGCTTTTCTTAATTTGAGGTATGTGGCTGAGTATGGCATGAGAAGGTGAAGTTAATCCTGCTGTTAATCCAAATCTTTTTGATTTACAAGGACAGAATGTGGAACATTTTCTGTAAAATTTGTTGAAGTACCTATGGTTCCAGTATTCTCAGAGTTACAGAATGTATTGTTGCACTCGTATCATTCCCTGTGTAAAATACATGACCCCACTCAGAAAGAGTTAAGGATGGTTTTTGTTGAGTGTTGTTAGACTTTTCAATCTGTCAATTTAGCATCTTTATAGCCTCTTTGAAACATAGTTTGTTTTAGATTTTCAGTGTGTTTCCAATAATTTGTTTCATCGGAACAGATATTCTTCATTCAGAGAGCTTGACTGTACATAATATTCCATTAGTTTGAATGGAGAAGCAGCTTTCATAGTAAAGATATTATGATCCATCAGTAGGTTTTCTGTACAAGTCTGTTTAAAAGTTTGTCATTTAAAGAGACAGTAACATTGAGAAAGTTAATTTGGGTAGCAGTCACTGCACTGTTGCACACTTTTGAAGAAAAGAGCAACTTCATTCTTCCTTCTCTTAAACTCCTTCTTTCCTTAGTTGGCCATTCCAGCAACATTCTCACTCACAACACTCAACCTAAATCACCCTGTAAATCTCTTAGCTATAGCAGAACACAACTTTTTCCAAACTTAGAAAGCTTACTGAGAAATGCACCAGATACCATCAATATGCCAAGTCACTACACTGTAATATACACAATAGAAACATACACCCATCTCTTGCACTAAAAGCACCCATCACAGAAAGAGTTTGTGACCAAAATTTCTACAGCAAATAGTACCAGTTTCATAAAAGTACATCTTTTTATATCATAAATATTACTAAGAATTTTTGTCCAAATTCTTTTAATATTCTAGATAAGAAATCTACTATTGTTACTTCTACAATCCCTCACTGGAAGAAGAACTTCACAAATTTAAAAAGAGAACTAACTGATTTCTACTTAAGAAGTATAATAAAACCAACCTTATAGTAATAACATCATTTCAAAAATTAGTGTTTCACTGATCATGTTGTTGGATGTACAAAACTGTTTAGTGTAAGTGTTATTATTTAGTTTATTTTGTGACTTTATATTTAATGATTGTTTAATTTTTAAAACAAGAGTGTTGAAGATGGATTGTTTTAAAAGTGCTAGTTGTGATGAATTTCATTACGTAACTCTGTATGAATTGTACATTGTTTGCAGTTAAATTATTGTCTAGGCTTTACTGATATTGTTGACGTCACATTACTCGAATCTTCAGTATTTTCTCATTACCTTAACAGAGTATTGTTGAATCATCGCATCGTTTAGAGAAAGTTTGAGACTGCAGTGAACAACATATAAATATAGGCGACCAAGTGAGTGTAAGTTAAGAACTAAAGAAGCAAAGTTAAGCGCAGTTTAGTCAGAAAAAATAGTAGTGAAAGAAAACATGAAATTAGCTGGCGTGTGAGTGATTAGCCATAATGGGTGATATTTTAAAGTGAGTTTCACAGTTCATTAGAGATAAGGAGAATAATATGTATTGTCAAAGGGTGTTCTAAAGTAATTGAACCCATCTGTGTGGATTTTGACAAAAGGAGACAATTATTTGAAGTTCAGGACACAACTGTGGTAACCCACAGGGTGGTGTAAGTGAATTATTCATTGATACTAGTGTGATAAGAGCAGAGAAAAATGGTTTGTCTTGTCAGTTGGATTCTAAAGTAATTGAATCAGCCTAAGTGGACTTTTGACAAGAAAAGAAAATTATTTAAAGTTTGAGATACAGCTGTGATATCCATAGTGAAAGGAATTTTTGTACATACGTTTAACTTGTTTTGAATATATTATTTTAAAACAAGTGAAGTGCGTGCTGTCCATTTATTGTTCGAATTTAATGCATACAAGTCACAGACAGCTACTTTAGAAGAATCTCAGCCCACACACATATACAAAACCCTGACACATCATAATCAGAAATTATAGATTACCAATTATTATAGTGTACAATCAACCCGATTCTGATTATGTACAGTCAAGTTGATGATGTTATTGTGTAGTATAGTCGACAGTTTAACCTTAAAAACTGTATTTACTACAGAGAATGTATTTTGAAGCTTCATTAAATTTCAAATGGTTGAAATGAGTGAAAAATAAAAATGAAGACTGACCTTGTGACTAGTACACGATTGATACCTAACGTTTTGGGACCGTTGTTATAGAGACAATCCAACCAATTGGTAATTCTGTTTGTCGAGACACAACCAACTTTGAGGTTGTTAAGGTACGTTCTTGCAACTATTCATATTTATTAATAATGGGACAGTCAAATGATGAAATGAAATGTTCCATAACTGTTCAATAGGTTAGTTATTTCAAACAATTGACATCCCACTATTGGAAAATAATGAGACATTCCCACTTTTCAATAGCTTTGTTGTCATGTTCTCCTTGGTGACCTTCCCAAACAATGAGCTAATATACAATGCAGTACTAATGGAGAGCTACATGGCTTATCATTCCAATAATTTTCTGAAAGAAGTTTGTATATATCTCCAGCAAGCATACAGTGTGTATTATCTCTGTGCATAGGGTGCTGTTATCGACCATTTGTTAATATACAGTCTGTAAAGAAATGGGTGTGCTTCACAATGTGCAGAGCATTGTTCTTTAACTATTCTTTTGTTCAATGTATCAACTTATTAAATAAGTGAGAAACAGACAGAGATTGTTTTAACTGTTGATATTTTAGTATATGGTGAATAATGTTTCATGTCAAAAGAAAAGGAAACAGTACAGGGTCATGATTGTAAGCATACTTACATATCAGAAGATTATTGTTGTGAATAAAGTGATCTATGATCAGAAACTTAACAAATTCTACCACTTCTGATTGTTGCTTGATTATGTAATAATCAGCTTAATTCCAATTGCTGAACCAATTATGGTAAAACACTGTCAAAAACTGTGACCATCTCTAACATCATTTTTAACAACCCTCCCCTTTTTGATAAAGAAACTACAACAGTAACAATCACCCTACCTGAAACTATCAAAGCCCCATTTTCCAATTATGAACACTGAAACAAATGTCTAAGAACTCTTCATCTTTTACTGGGTGTGATCTCTTTCAAATTAACACATTTTCAAAGAAGCTTTCTCCATTTGTTGACCACCAAACAAAAAGATATTCCCTGTACTTTCTTATATAAAGAACATGACTCACACTATAAATATCACAGAGAAAATCATTGCCAGTAATCATTTACTTCCTACCATCCACCTTTGTACAGTAGATGTTTCTTCCCTTTACAGTAATATTCCATACAGCAAAGGAAATTGTAAAATTTGCCTCAAAAAGTAACCAACCTTGCTACTCTCTTATTTCTGAGCAATTTCAAATTCAACATCAAACATTACATTCAGATTAATAGTACTGCAATGAGTACTAAAATGGCTCCTAACTATGCCAATATATTTATGAGTCATATTGAAAGCCAGCTTTTACAGCAAAGTCCTGTGAAACCTCACACTTGAAAACATTACATAGATGACATATTTTTTACTGGTATAGCCAATTCTGAATCACTTAGACTTTTTTCTTATGCTAACACCTTTCACAAAAACATCAAGTTTATTCCTTGTTACTCCGCTATTGAAATTGAATTTCTTATTGTTACTGTCTCTTTAAATGACAGACTTTTACACACTGACTTCTACAAAAAACTTACTGACAGACCACAATATCTTCACTATGAAAGCTGCCTCCCCACCCACACTAAATGGATTATTACCTGCAGTAAAGTTCTCTGAATCAAGAAAATCTGTTCTGATGAAACAAATTATAGAAAACACACTAAGAATTAAACCATGCTGCAAAGAGGCTATAAATATGCTAAAATTGACATATTGAAAAAACTAACAACACTAAAAAAACATCATTAAACAGTGTAATACCAAAGAGTCAAACAAAATTCCTCTTCTTACTATCGACCACTTTAAACTCATAAATGTTTTGTGTGTTCTGAAAAACATTTCCATCTATTACAGCTGAATGATTGCCTGAGACAACTTTTTCCTGAAGTTCCTGTTGTCTCCTTCCAGAAAAGAAAACTTTAAAGATGTCCTTCTTCATGCAAAAGTGAATTATACTCCACCACAGAGTGGTTTTCATCCTTGTAATAAAGTTTGTTGTCTAACCTGCAAGTTCATAAAAACTACAAACTTTTTTTTTTCTAACAGTTATGACCAAAAAATGCTAAAGTTACTAAAGAAATTAGTTGCACAACACCATTTACCTCATACACTGTAAAAAAATGCAATTACCAGTATGTATGACAGACCCAAGTGACCTTTAGAAAGCATTTCAACAACCATAAACCTTCTCTTAACACCAAAAAAGACCTCTCTGTTGTCTAGCATTTCAACAAATCTGGTAATTCTATTAATGATGTAATTCTCATTGGTTTGAAACTGTTTCAAAACTAAAGCTGATAGAGAAATGAAAGAAGCCTATTGGATTGCCACTTTAAATATCATTCATCTTTTTAGAATTAGTGGTTTGTAACCATTAATAAGTTCCATTTCAGAAAATTAAAAGTTTTTTTTCTCCTGTGTGGTGTGAATTATTTATTTTATCCTTAGTCTTTCTTTATACTTATTTTTATAATACTTATTGTTTACTAGCAGAAATGCTGCCCAATGGGTGGTTGTTTGCACTAGTAATTACTAATTGTAGTATTCTTACATTATTGAAAAAAAATTGAGAAAAATTAACGTTTTCTAAAACGAAATTTTGTTTTGTGGGAAGTACTGCACTGGAATAGTGTTTGGATTGTGCTCTTTAGTCATATGCAAATAATTGCATCAAAATGATTCAATGTACAGAGCTCAATTTTCATAAATGTTACTTATATAAACTGTAATGTTTTTATATATTAAACATGCTACCCTTTATTGAAAAAAAAAGTTTTTTTAAGCACTCCAGTTTCTCAGTGCTACATTTGAAAATTACATCAATAAAGATATAATCAAACCCTCATGTACAGTCCTAGTAAAAGTCGTGTTCTTGTTGTGAGGAGAGTACTTTTATTTCTAGTTTGTTCTGTTATGAAGAAATTTGTTATTGTACATACCATAGTTATTTTTCTAATTGTCTGAATCTTGAACATGTAGAGTATGAAATTTTTATGGATTTTTGTTTGTGGTGCCACTTAATAGATGGCACAGGAGTTTTGGTTACATACATAGATTCTGACATACATTTCTGTTCATCAAGAAATTTTAACTTATGTTTAGTTTAACTAGGAGATTTTTTACATTCACACTTAATATCTTATATATCCTTTATCTAAAATATCTTTTTTACCTTTAGTACTGGGAAGTATTCTTTTTAATTTTAATTGTTTGAAAACAGGAAAAAAAATTGTTCTCAGAATATACTGATCATTTTGCTGGTTACACCTTGTATATTTGGTAATTTTACTATACAATTAGTTTTCTTATCATAAAGTTTTGTAATCTTTTTGTAGAAGTTGCCTTGATTGAATTTTCATTATGTTTATATTTGGTGTTTATTCCTAGTCTGGATGAGAAGTTAACAACAGTTTTTAAACATCATCATAATATTGATATTAGGAATAAACAACATTATAACACCAAATTGTTGTTTTTCTTTAATTGGACACTCAGTGTTTCACTTTACAGCTTCTTCAGGAGCATTCCACTAAAACTCAAACCTTAACTGACAGTACAGAGCTTACTAGCATTAATTAAAAAATAACAAGTACACTGCATCTTCAAACAGTGTTTTACAGGTCAGTAATTCCAGCTTACTTCATATCTACAAAATCTTAACATTCACGTACAGTTTGTGTTTTAGTGGAGTACTTCTGAAGAAGCTGTAAAGTGAAATACTGAGTGTCCAATTAAAGAAAAAAACAGTTTAGTGTTGTAATGTTTACTTCTAGTATTAAAATGTTTTCATTACACCAATATGCACTACAGAAATTAAATCATAATAATCTGTAGTCTGGGTGAGAAGAAGTAAACAACAGTTTTTAAACATCATAATTAGTAGCATAGATGGGAAGAACTATGCAAAAGTTTTTAAACATCATCATAGTTTTTAGTTTGGGTGAGAAGTAGTAAATGATAGTTGTTAAAGTAATTCATAGTTTGGGTGAGAAGTAGTAAATGACAGTTGTTAAAGTAATTCATAGTTTGGGTGAGAAGAAAACAGTTTTCTATCAGTGCTAATTCCTAGTGTGAGAAGAATTAAGTAATACTTTTTAAATATAATAACTCTTAGTATGCATAAGAAGAAGTAAACAGAAGTTTTAAATATCATAATTCATAGCCTTAATAAGAAAGTATTTATAAACATTGACATTTTTTCCTGGTTTGGATGAAAAGAAGTATGGATCATGTCTGAATATTGGTGTTTATTTCTAATCTGAGTGGAAGGTAAATAACATTTTTTTGAAAATCCTAACAATTAATGAGTAAACTGTTTGTCTAAACATTGTTTATTGAATGAGCAGTAAAGATATATAAACATTTACGATTATTCCTTGTCTGGGTGAGAAGAAATAAAAATCAGTTTTTCAGACATTATGTATTTCATAGTTTGGATGAGAAGAATTATAAAGTATGCCTTGATATTGGCATTTATTCCTAATCTGGATGGAAAGAAGTACATGGCAGGTATTATTGTAATAATTGTAAAAATTCAGTGTGGATGAGATTGTGTAAAAAGTATGTCTAAACATTGGTTTTATTCCACCAACTCTGTGAAAAAAATATAATTAGCAATGTTTGTTGAAGTGAATTTTTATCTATTTGAGACTACTAATTATTGTTAGTTTCTACTTTTGTTTGTTATAGGTGATTATGGCAACAAACAGAATTGATATTTTAGACCCTGCACTATTAAGGCCTGGTAGGATTGACAGGAAGATAGAATTCCCTCCTCCTAATGAAGAGGTAAGATATTCGTCTTTTCCACAGGTGATTGGATTACAGGGTGTTTAACTTTTTCCAAAGAGGCATCCTTTTCTGTGTATGTTTTGAGGTTTTACTGACTTACATTCAAAATTAAACTACTTTATTATCATGGTATACTAATAAACTTGGCATAAAAATGTAGCTAATAATCTGATTTTGATATTATATATAAGTTTTAAGTTCTTAATTTTATAAGGTAATATGTAAAAGAAATCCTCAATTTCCCTTATTATGAGAGTTGTGAGATTTGCTCTTTAGGTCTTCCCTCTTCTCTAATTTATTTACCACTCCTTCAAGAAGTACAGAATGTAATGTAACTTACTCATTGCAATATTGTTATTACTCAAGCAAAGCATAATTTTTATAGCTTTCAGTCTTATTTGGTTAAAGAGCCATAAACTAGAAAATCAGACACCTCTTGCCACACCTACCTCTCTTTCACCAATAGTTCTCTCTGGTGTTTAATACTCAGTATTTATTACCAACAGAAAACCAAAGTTTTGATATATCAAATGACGTACAGAGAATTGGCTATTCTGCTTCCAGTTCAAACTTTTAACTTTTTTCCCACAAGAAATGCATCAATGAGCTTAGCTGAATTTTTAACAGCTCTTATCAAAATAGTTAGAAAGCCAGAAAGATCATGGGAGTTATAGGTCATTATATGTTTTTTATATGTTCATATTTAGTGTTCTTAGGTGCATTATTTAATTAAATAAAAAATTATTTAGTGCAATAGTACCATTAGTATAAAAAAATGGGTTAAGTTTCATCAACAGTCAACGGCAAAAAAAGAAGATCCAGGTTAGTACTATATTTTTTTGTTTTTCATATTTATTCTTTACTTTTTATTATAAAAGTAGCTAAAATGCAAAAATTAAAAATTTTTTAGATTATATTAGGTAAAATGAAGAAAAAATAATGATAATAATTCTTCACAAGGTAGGCTTGTGAGTAGCCAATGAGTTATGTAATTCAATAGGGTAATGTGAGTGACATGTTTCCCAAGTATTTTACTACTTTTCAACTGGTAAAATTTATCAACTTTGTATAGAGTTAGGATAGAGAAAATAACAGATAAAATATAAAGTTTTACTGAAAAAAATGTTTGAAATTTATTTAGGAGGTTTTAGAGACTAAAAAATTATATTTGACAATTTTCAGATGAAGAAAAGTATTTTTAATCTTAAGATGAAAATCACTGTACTCACAGTAAGTCAGCACTTTGACTCCATATATTCACAGAAAATTTTTTAATGAAAATACTTCATTAAAATTTCTGATTTTTTGTCTATAAAAATCTTTTAATGCTTACTGAAAGTTTGCACAATTTAGTGAAGATACACAACACATACTAAAGTTGTAGTATGAAAACTATAAAGGTCAGTTTTGCATCATGAACTCGGACGATTCAACTAAGCCTGTAGCAAGAGTGTTAAATTATTTTTGGTTATTAGTTTTAAATAAGTGTAAATCTAGTTGTTTTTTTAGTTTCCCCACCAAATGTAAGAGATTCATTGATATATATTGGTTCACCAAGGTCACCCCATCTCATTAAACTAAACTTTAATAAAAACTCGGAGCCACCCATATTGTTTGAATATTTATCAATTCTTCCTTTAAAACTTTAACTTTACTGTATCCACTGCATCTGAAGTTAACCCATTCCAAAGGTCAACCACCCTTTTAGACAAAACTGTCTTAGCTGGAGATAACTCCAACCCTGCCAAAATTTATATTTGTGTCCCCTAGTTCTGCCATTCTCGCCATTAATTAAGAAAAAAGACAATGCATCAACACTGTCACTTTCCTTAACAATCTTAAACATCTCAATCAATTCCCCTTTAACTCTTCTTTTTTGGAAAGAAAATTTCAGGAAGCTTAACCTGTCCTTGTATGACAACCTTTCCAACTTAACCTTTTCCAACATTTTAGTGACCATCTTAATATCTTAAAACTGAACAAAGTACTCCAAATGAGGCATAACTAGTGACCTATACAGTAAAATTACAACCTCATTAGACTTGTATTCGGTACTTCTGTAGATACACTTAAAATCTTACTTGATCTACCAGAGAAGAGGTAGTTTTATTAGGTTGATATTGTGTGTTCCATAGTTTGTTGTTTTTCAGTTCCCCATTTTGATAGCTTTTTCTTTCGGTATAAATTTTGATCTTTTGAAAACTAAAGTTAATAAGATAGAGGTAAGCTGGGAAAATCTTGAGATTATGTTTGTGATTTTAAAGTTGAGAAAGTTAGGAAGGACTTGAAGTTTACATGTTATTAGAAAATGAATATCTAAATATATTTTCTGAAATTTGAGATCCAGTTTTTCCAATGTTTGAAATGTGTGTAAAATTTCACTGCTATACAGCTGTGCTAAGACATCAGCAACAGGTTTTTCAGGCAGTAAACAAAGTTTAATAAGAAACAGAAACATTGTTTCTTTAATTGACCATTTGAGAATTTACAAATTCCATCATGAGCAAGCTTTAATAGAAACAGTCTTAATAGTGATGTGAAATACAGAATATAACAATTTACATAAAATAAAAATATAAAAAGCTGTAATTTAGGATATTTGGATGCATAGACACTTAACTATACTTAAGTGGATTAGAAAATTGATTTCAAGTACCACTAGAATATGGGCCTTGATTCTGTAGTGCAGACAATGTACGGGTACAGCTTTGCACTGAAACAACAAAACAATTGTATATTTTCTTAAAGCTCTTAACTTCTAAATGATGTACACATTTGTCAATATAAAACGTTTCACTCTGAAGTAAGATTATTTTTGAATTTCAAACTTGCATTTTTTTGCCTTTATTCATTTATCTAGTATTTGATGTGATAGAATAATTTAATGAAATAAATGAGCTAAAAATCAAGTCAAAACATGGACAAATAATCTGAAGATTTTGTCATTTTTTCTAAATTATTTCTAATTTAATCTTCAAAAAGATGATTAAAAATACTCTCCTACCCAATAGGCTCGGCTTGATATATTAAAAATTCATTCACGTAAAATGAATTTGACAAGAGGTATAAATCTGAGGAAAATTGCTGAGACTATGCCTGGTGCATCCGGGGCTGAAGTGAAAGGAGTGTGTACTGAGGCAGGAATGTATGCACTCAGAGAACGCAGAGTTCATGTCACACAGGAAGACTTTGAAATGGCTGTGGCTAAGGTAAGAAGAAATTTGTGTTTTTAGATGAAAAAAGGGGTTATGTATTAAAGTGTATTAGTTTAAATTCCTTTATAGTTTATATAAGTTTAAGGTTAGAGGAAAGTATTATCTCGTATGTTCAAATTTATTTATGGTGTGACATTTATATAAACTCAGATTAGTGTGTCATTATCTAACTACTATGAATGTTTTATTGTGTTGTGTTTATATAAACCCGGATATTGATGTATGGGGATTTTTTCGTGAGTTTGAACTTCTTTATTGCATATTTGTTTATATGAACTCGAGTTAGAAATTGATGTATAATTATATCATTAGTTTAAATTTCTTTATGGTATGTTTATATAAACTTGGAGGTTGGTGTATAATTATATCAATAGTTTGAATTTGTTTGTGATACCTTGTTTATATAAACTGGCAGATTTTATGTATGATTATATAATTAATCTTAATTTCATTATAGTATCATGTTTATATAAAATCAAGTTTGAGATTAGTATGAATAATGGGCACTTGTTTAATGTTTAAAATGTAATTAACAGTCAAAAGTCAATGTTTCATATTTACACAATTAAAACTTGTTTATTAAAGCCATCAGGGGTTATTTACAAAACGTTTTTTTAAAGCAGTAGTTGTTGACAGCTTTAATAAACATCTTTTAATTGTGTAAATAGGAAACATTCTATTTTAATTACTATGTTTTAGAGATTGCTGTATGATAATACAGATTATCTTGCTAGTTTGAATTACTTTAAGGTAGCATGTGTATATAAATTTAGTTACATATTGATGTATTGGGATTGTCTCATTAATTTGAATTTTGTTATGGTATCACATTTTTATAAACTCAAGAGTTAAAGATTAGTGTAGGATTATCTCAATTTGAATTTGTTTAAGGTAGCATGTTTATAAAAACTGAAAGTAATATATTGGTGTATGTTATCTTATTAGATTCAATTTCTCTATAGCATCATGTTTATATAGCTCTAGAATTAAGAGATTAGTATATAATTACTTCATTAGCCTGAATCTCATTTTGTATGCCATTTATAGAAATTCAGAGTTTGGTATATAATTATCTCATTAATTTTGATTTGTTTTTGGCATCACATTTATATAAACTTGGAGATTGTGTGTGATCATCTTATTAGTTTGGATTTCATTTTGATACCATGGTTATATAAAATTAAAGATTCTTTATAGTATTATGTTTATATAAACTCCAAGATAGGTTTGTGTTTATCTTATTAACTTGAATATCTTTTTGGTATCACATTTGCATAAACTTTGAGATTGGTGTATGATTCTTCACTTGATTAAGTTTCTTTATAGTATCATATTTATATACACTCAAGAGGTAGATATTGATTTATGATTATCTCATTAGTGCGAGTTTCTTTAGTGTATTATGGTTATATAAAAACATTAATGTATGATTACCTCATTAGATCAGATTGCTTCATGATATAATTTTTATATAAACTCAGAGATTGATGTATGATTATCTTGTTAGCTTTCCTTTTTGCTATCATGTTTCTATAAACTCAGAGTTAGAGATTTGTTTATGATTATCATATTAGTTTTACTTTCCTTATAGTATCATGTATATACATAAACTCAAAGTGAAGTTTTTAGGTATGCTTATGTCATTAGATTGAATTTCTTTTTGATATCATTTTCATACTCAGAGTTAGAGATTGGTGGATGATAATCTTGGAATTGAATATGTGTGATTATGTCGTTAGATTGAATTTCTTTTAGGGCTGAGTGAATTAATCAATACAACCAACTACCAGTGAGCACTGATTATATCAATTAGCGTCTCATAAACTAATTGATTAATCAAAATTTTTGATTATTCCAACACTCGATAAATCAAAATTATGATTAAATCAGTTGTCACAAAAATATGCAACTAATAGAAATTAGTTGTTGTGATTATTACTTTTTTCGATTATTCCAACAAATGATTAATCACTATTTCAATTAGATTGATTGTCATAAAAATAGTCAACTAATCAAAATTTGTTGTTCTGCTTGTTATTGGTTTTGATGATTCCAACAATCAATTAACCAAAATTTTGCCATTATGTTTGTTTTTAAGCAAAAAGCTGCATAGTTAGGGGAGAGGGAGGTGCCTAGTGATTTGAGGATCTCAGGTTTGATACCCTTTGACACTAAATTTGCTTGCCCTGTCTTTATCATTGCACAGATGTTAAGGCTGTATGCCACTTTCACTAATTTTGAACTGCTGACTAGAGGGAAGGCAATTAGCTGTCAGCACTTACCTCCAACTCTGGCTACGTAACTGTTAAATAAAGTGTAAGTTTACATTGTGTTATATTTATATTTTACAATGGGGTAATCATATTTTTTAATGTTCTATAAGAGAACATAGATCTATAGGTGGGGTCCAGGGGGCTAAAGCCCCTCCAATGTTTTCAAGAAATTAGCTATTATTTAATGTTCTATAAGTTGGTGCAGGTCTAAGAGTGTCTGTACTCCAATTTATTTCTGAAATTAATAAAAAAAGTACCATACTGTATCAAAAAGAAACATTAAATATCAATATTTTTATGTGATTTGGTTATTAATTACTGTAAAAGCTTTCTCAGTGGTTTCATGAAATCATCACAGCTTGAGGCCACAGTTATTAAATGATTATTACTAAGCTAACACAATGATATTAACATCAACTAAACTTTGTCGCGGTAAATACTCATGCCTGAGCTTTTTCTAGACTAAAAATTCACTTATACTTGCGATATTTGTTTTCATCAAAGTTTGAATTGTTTAGGACACCTGCAGCTCTTATAACATAAACTTGTAACATCATCAAATTTTAATTGTTCAGAAGTTAGAATTCTTATGAGAAAGGTATTTTTTAATATTTTTATGGTGTGAACATATTTTACAAGCTGGCAAAGCATGATTATACATAGTTATATTTGTCATATGACATTATGTTAGGCCTATTATAATTATTATTTTTAACACTACATTCTCAATCTAGACCCTTGGGGATTTTTAAGAATTATAAGAGTGTAAAATGATAGTGTTTGAACCATACTATATCCATCATATCCATTGCTGATGACAGGTTTTGCTTAATCCAGAGCTCTTCATGCTTAATCTGGCTCACACCATTACAATTGTTGATCATGTAAAGTGATGATATATATATAGCACCTAGACAACTATTATGTCTGTTGTATTCCACCCAGCCTGATGAGCTCTGGTATTGAGCAAAAGGCCTTGTTGGCACAGGATATGGCAAATGTTGTGTGGTTGATATATTATAATATATTTTCCTTTGCTTTCACTCATGGATTCTTAGAATTTACTAGCATATTTTGCTTTGCAGCTTTTTGTACTTACATGTTTCTACTTGTTGAATGAGTGTATATTTACATTTTTTCAACTTTTTGTGGCTTTAAATCTTTAAAATTTTTAGACAAAAGGGGGATGCATATCATATTTTTCTAAACCTTAAAGAAATCCATTCAGTGCACTTGATATCACTCAGACTGTTGATTTTTCACTTACAATTTAACCTCACAATTTTTATTAAATGCTGTAGTTATGCATAAACATGTTTATGTTCCAATATACAAGTTGCAAGCACTTAATTAAGCACAGTTTGGTTCTTTAGCTTGTGCCACACTGTTATTGGTCTAATTATGACTTGATATTTATGCATTATCTATCTTGGAATACAAGATCAAATTAAATGAATGTTACTGCTGTTTTTAATATGTTTGTTCTCACTCTTTGCAGGTCATGCAGAAGGATTCTGAGAAGAACATGTCAATTAAAAAGCTCTGGAAATAAGACACCTTTAAGGACTCTTCTTCTATCCAACCCCCCCACCACCACTTGCGTCTAAACAACCAAATTTGGAGAAGGTTATTTGAACTAACTCATATAAAAATGAAACTTTTTTTTTCAATCTAGGAATATTTTTTTTAACTATACATTTTGGAACTTCTGTGACCATTGTACTTTAGCAAGTTCTAATAAAATGTAAATTATTTCCAAATTCAGAATACCCAGTATCTTTTATCATTTGAACAATGTTTTTAATAACACAGTAATAAGTATTGTGAAAGTTTTTTTTTTTTTGCAGTCTGGGGTAGTATGGTTGTCTCTTGGCTGTTTTCATACATTTGCTAATTCACCACGATTGAGTAAATGTTGTCTTTTTTTTTTCCTTCTAAACATCAGTTTTGACATGTGATGTGTAATGTGAATGCTGTTGTTTTTGAGTGTTATTTAATCAGAATTATTCCTTAGATTTTCAACCCTCTGAAAAGAGTTGACATGTACATTGTCTAATAATTTTTATGATTATATTTAACAGGCCCCTTCATGAGCTAGTAGGGGACATTTATGTTGAAAAAAAAAATACCCAATCCAGTTTATCTTAATTTGAACTGAAATATTTTGGACATTTTTACTGGCTAAAAAGAAGGCATTTCCTGCTTCGACCTTCCCTAACCAAATCGCAGGTGAAATCGTTCATATCTCAGTTGAAAGCTAACATAAAAAGGTGATAGCAGAAGCATAAAAGATTTGCAATTGCTTAATTAATGATCACGAGAATGTTGCATTATTAATATATACTGAATTTACTCCCAGTGGGTAGACCTTAGTACTAGCTAGTATGGACACTTGAGGATGCTGTATTTTACTTTAAAATTTATCAATTATCAAACAAAAACTTGTATTAAAGTTGTCTCAAAAAAGATACGTCCAAAACCACCCTCTTTGGGAGTTTCCGGATTGAACTAACTTTTAATATTCAACAAATTGTAGTGTAAAGACACCCATTGGCTCCTGGGGGATGTGTTAATACAGTTTGAACATAAAATTGTAAATTATTTTAAACAGCTTAAATTTTTGTCCTAATTTCCTATAAATACCTTTGTATATTTATGTTTATTCACAATTTGTTTCTTATATTTTCCATATCAAAACATCTCCCAATTTTTTGCCATTTTCTGCTCTCTCTCTTTCTTTTCCATATCCTTATGATTCCCTATATATATATGTATTATCATCTTTTCTTTTAGTATTCTACATTTTTTCTCTTCATCCTTTGTCCATTTGGTACATTACCACAGCTTATTCTTGCTACAAACCATCGTCTTTAAATTTATCTAAATTTAACATTAATTTAATTTTCTCCATATATTTTTCAATCCTAAACATGGTCTTAATTTCCTCTGGGTAATTTGCCACCATTATGCAATTTCACACAAACCATTTTCTTTACCTTCCCCATTATTTTTTCAAATTCATTTATCCTCTAAATGATTTAACTAAATTTACTGAGAACAGTATAGGACTTAATGGGCATCTTTGTCCAACTTCTTTATCATTAAAAAAAATATTTTCATACTTTGTTTGTCTTTCATCAAATATTAATTTTTTTATTACCTTTTTCAAATAATTTCCTTTCATCCACAGTATCAAAAGCAGTGTTTAAATCTATAAAAAATGCATACAACCAGGGCCGGCCTAAGGGCAAAGTCACTGCCTCAGGCCCTACACCTCAGTGGCCGAGTCAATTGTATACTTCTAGTATCTAAACTCAAGTACTCGCCTCTGGCCCCGCACCCTCCTAAGGTTACTATGGCATACAACTTCCCTTTTTTTATCTGATTTGGTTCTTATAAAGGTACTTAAAATAATGTGTTATATTTAGTGGTTTACTTTTTGTCCAAAATCCTGCTGCTTTTTTTCATTAAACTTTCTTGTCATCATTATAGTCATTAGTTTGTTTGTTACATTTAATAATGATACTTCTATAGTTCTTTGCTTCTGCTTCATTTCTCAGTTTGTAAGTTAGGTGCATATCTGCCTCTCTGTTTTGTTACACTTCTTGTTGTCTCTTAATATTTGTTCACAGTTACTAATACTTTATCATTTTTTTAAAATTAAATTCCCATAAAGTTCATTCAACTCAATATCTTGTCCTGGACTCTTTACTTTTTTTAAATGTTTGAATTGATTTTCAAAAATCTCATCCATTATTCGTCATCCACTTTCATTTTTTTCAGTACAGTTTTTTTTATTAGCACTTTAAAATTTTCTTTATTCCATTCAAAATCTTTGCCTTTAATTATTATCATACCTCATACACACACCTTCCCCTCTCTCTTTGAACACCTCAAACAATTTCTTATTTCTTTAATTTTTACTAAGTAGTCCTCTTCAATAGATTTAAATACCTTTCTAGTTCCTTTCTTTTTATGGTTGATATTTGATTATTATAGATCTTGGCTACTTTCTTCTTTAAATGTCTACTTGATGTGGTTAGGCAGTTTCCAGTGGGATAAACTAATATGCCTTATCTAGTAATTCTTAATTTTTTCTTTCACATTTTTACTAGATTACTTTTCAACTTTTTCTAATTTATGAATGTTTTTTTTCTTTTTTTCAGAATCCTATTAACTTTTAAGTCCCAAATTTATGTTTTCTGTCTTCCTCTTTTCCCTCTTCCATTCTAAAAATGGGTTACTCTGCATAGTACCCTATCATTTTGTAATTCTTCATTCTTTTTTATTTGCTATATTTAACTTTTAAATTTTTTTCTAATTTCTTCCACATTTTTTCAGTCACATTTGATTTCATTTCCTCTCTATATGATCTACTTTTTTAATTGTCTTTCCAAAAATTCCATTATCATTTTCCTTAACCTCAAAATCATATTTTTCCAACTTTGACAAACTGTTACTTCTATCTCTCTCTTCCCTGGCATCAGTAAATAAACTAACCCATTTATGACTATGGCCTGGTGGTTAGGGCACTTGAATTGCAATCTATGGGTCATAGGTTCAAATCCCATCACTGAACATGCTTGCCCTTCTAGTCATGGGGACATTATAATGTGATGGTCAATTCCACTATTCATTAGTAAAAGAATAGCTTAAGAGTTGGTAGCAGGTGATGATGACTAGCTGCCTTACATCTAGTCTGTAACTTCAGACTTTGGGTTTATTGCAGGTAGTCATAGCATTGAGTAGCTTTGTGTGAAATTCAACAAACAAAACAAACCATTTATGACAATTCTACCCATTAGACTTCCTGGACCTCACTGCACCTTTTTTACCACATCTATCCCCTCTCTAAGATCAAACCTCTTTTAAACTTGATCAATACCTGTTCCAGATATTTCAGTTATCACAATTTCAGCTACAACTTTTTATTATAAATTTTAACAGAATTCCTATTTAAACACATCTAATCATCACCATTACATTATAGTCCTCCCCCCAGTTCAAACTAAAGTGAATAAATTATGGGTTACTGCTATTGTTTGTCGATGAACACTTTGGCTCTTTAGCTAGTTCCAAGTTCTCCACTTTAGCAACACTTTTCAATGATATTGGGAGTTTCACAAGCTCTGAAACACTCGATAATGGCAATTAGATGCTCAAATAAGACTATAACTCAACTTTAGCAGTTATTTGTAAGCATTATAGAGTAAGATTGAATGAGGCTGTTATTTTTATTCTAAGCCCATCCCTACATACTAATCACTACTGTGCTTAGTGTTAGAGCTTTTATTTATTACTTGTGACTATAGTGACAAATATGTAATTGTGCTTCCTAATATCATTAAAACCATCGTCACACTGAATGTATGGAAATGAAACTTCAAATTTTCTCTCTCAACCAAAAAATTAGTTGTATAGTTTCAACTTTGAAATTTTGAGAACAAGTTTTGACCCACGAATTGAACACTTTATATCCAAACTTAGCTTTATTGTAGCTGTAGGATAATGACAGTCTGGGATTATATCTACCTAGACCTATCTCAGAAAGGCTGCAACTGAACCTCATTTTGAATTGAAAAGAGCAACAGTTGATTATCTTTAAGTAGTTTTCATATTTCTTCATTGGTACGTTGATTTTTACGGGGTTTGGATAGAACAACTGTATTCCCTTTACTTGAGAAGACATATATAAAGGCTTTTTGATCTTCATTTTATCCACTTCACCAATGAAGAATAGTCTTAGGACTAGCTAGTTCTAACTTTAGTCCTTTAACCTTTACCAGAAGAGAGCAGTCTTGGGTCTAGCTGGTTCTTCATCCCTATAGCCTTTAATAGAGAAGAGAAATCTGAAGAGTGGCCGATTCTCACTTTGTCCCTATAGTCTTTAATTGAGAAGATTCTAAAGGGTGGCTGATTCTAACTTCATTCCTATAGACTTTAACAGAGAAGAGAAACCTGAGAGGTAGCTGGTTATCATTTCATCCTTTACTACTTAGGGCCAGAATATTGACTCATAAATAAATCTAAATAGGAAAATTCTATACATAACAATTTATCTTGAATATTGAGTTTGTGGGCCAGATAAAATTAGTTGTGGAGCTCTCAGTTGAACCAGTTGTAATGGAAGAGAAAAGTCCCAGGGCTATCTTCTGTTAATGCAATACTACCTATTTAAACTGCTTTTGTTCCTGAGGTTTTCATGTTCAAGTGTGTGAAGTAGATTGATTTCCATAAAGATGAGATTCAAGTTCATTTCTTATAGAGAGCTGTGTTCAGTTAGATAATCTGATTACATTTCCTGGATGGGCTAGACAATACACCTTCCTGTCTACATGTTTCTTGGCTGAGCTACACAACATACATTTTTATTATGTTACTTGGTAGAGCTAGCCATAACACAGTATATACATGCTTCCTGGCAGAGATATAATTTAAATGATCCTGATTACATGTTTTCTTTTAGATGAAGACATTACACATTTTGTTTACATGTTTTGTGGCTGTGCTAAACACTAAATCATTCTGATTACATTTCCTGTTGGAGCTTGACATCATACATTCTGATTACATATTTCCTTGCACAGCTAAATGTTGCACATTCTGATTATATATTTCTTGGCTGAGCTAGACATTAAACATTCTAACATGCATATTTTCTACCTGAGATAGACATTACATCTTCTTGATTATGTAACGTGGAAGAGTTACACATCAAACATTGCGAGTACAGGTTTTTTGGTAGAAATAGACATTATACATTC